CTGAACCGACAGCGGGGCTGGGGTTGATATCTAAGCCTGAAACCCCCTGGCTCCAGCACGGCCGTGCCCACCTATTGCTTTTTTCCCCTTGGTGTAACTCTCCCCATTTTTGCCTCCATGCATTCGCTTCCCCTCTCCAGTCCTTGCTCTTCACCTTTTGTGTTTCACTGGAGATGCTCTTTGGTTGCTCCCAGGCTTGAGACACACGGGAGATGCTGGTAATTACTTGGTTTTTCTATGTGGAGAGGGACCAAAAACCCACAGAAGGGGAAGGTGCCAGGGGGTGAAGCACAGGGTGGGGTGAGCCTAGCCCGGCAGCTGCCGGTGCTTCCTGCTGTGTTTGGGGGCTGGGGATCACCTGGAATCACTGGAGGGATCTGCTTGCTGCCTTTTTGCTTAGCCCAGGCCACTGCCCGGAGCTGGGGAGGAGGACGGGGCTGTGCTTGTGCCGCTTACTTGTGCTCGGGTTTGGAGATGTTGTCTGCCTCTCCCCTGGAGTTGCCTGGCTCTGCACTGCTTGCCTGGAGGGATTCCTGCAGCTGGATCCCGCGGCAGGGCCCTGGGGCTGGGGGACTCGGCCAAGGTGATGCCGGAAAGCGGTGGCAGAGCAGGGGCATGCAGGGTCCCCACAAGTCGGGCTTGCTCTGAGCACGGGGTGGGGAATGACCATGAGTGGGGTGGGAAGGACACACGCACCCCAGGGGTATGCTCTTTGCTTGGCTATTTGCTTTCTTAGGTAGGTTTGAAATCTGTAGTGAGGAAGCAACTGGCCTGAGCATCGCTTTCCCCCATGCCTTCAGCATCAGTCTGGGGGCAGGGGAAGCCCATGTTCAGCAGTGACCTCGGATCAGGCTGGGGGAGCGCAGCAAGTGGGTTGCTGGGTGGTCACAAAATCCCATGGGAGATGAGGTTGTACGTGGATGAGGGGTTTGTGATGGCACAAGAGCACCAGGCTGGGGAGTCCCTGGTGTCCGCAGCAGAGCGGAGCACCTGCATGGTCCAGTCTGTGTGCTCCGGGCTGGCTTCTGCTCTCACACTAGTGCAGATCAGTCTGGGTGCACTGGAACCAGCAGGGTTTCTCTGTTGTTAACCTGTCAAGCTTTCCCAAGAGCCTATCCTAGCTGTCCCGCAGTGTCCAGCTCTGTGCCTCCTCCACGCTGGCATCATGCTGAGCCTGACCCCTCCATGTCATGGTCCTGTCTCACCTTGCTCTCAGCCCAACGTGGGCAAGCATTGGCACTGCCCAACTCCAGCTGTAACATGATGCAAATCAGCACCCCTCCCCTAAAATCAGCAACCCACGTTCTCAGCTGATGTGAATCAGGGACGACTTGCAGGAGTGGGAGAAGATACCAGCAATCAGGATGGGTCCTGTAAATCGGGTGCTCATTGCTGGCTGGGCAAAGTCTCGCTGCTCTATGGAAGCCCATGGTGCAATCCCCTGCCTGGTGTGGGCTCCTGGCAGCGGTGCAAACAGCAAACCTGACCCTTTGCACCAAAACATTTCATTACTCATGCTCCAGACATGCTTTGCAAAGCAATGCAAAGCCCTGAGCTGTGAAAGCACCTGCAGCAAACGGGAAGGGGAGTTTCGGCATAGAAACTGTAGAAATGTCCAAGGATGGCTCTGATTTCAACTCAGCACCACAACGTGTTTCCTTTGCGACAGTGCTGGATCCAGGCAAGAATTCACCGTGGGGCTGGGGGAGCCCTGGTCTAGCTCACCCAGTTCTGGGTTTTGCAGAACATCAGGCAAGTTTGTCAGCTGGAAACCAAAGCCAGGCTTTTTGCGTGTCTACAACATTGACCAGTAAGAGAATTCACTGTGGTCCCCTTGGTGGGGGAGGATGCCCGTGGCTGAGCGTCATTTTGACAGTGCTGCGATGGTGTTGGGCTCTGAGCAAAACAAGATCTGCAGGAGGGGGAGCATCTTTTATCACCCCAGCTGCTGCTGTTAGAAGTTGTGGTTCAGCTTTTGGGTTCAAGAGACTTGGGTGTTGAAAACTTGTCTAATAAAAGATATTAACTTTCCCTGTAGCTCTTGGGTTCCCCTTGTGCCTGTGTAATCCTGTCCCCGTAGGTCCCAGCTGGTGATGCAGCGCCGCGGACAGGCAGTCCCAGTGTCACAGCCCCAGCCTGCTGGGTGCTGCTGGCCTTCCCCCCCCATCACTTGGACCCTCCTGGCCGCATCCAGCTTTCAGTTCCATGGGCCAAAATCTGCAATGACTGGGGCATCACTTCCAATTTTCACTAAAGACTCAGAGAATTTGGCTTCCTTCTCTTTTGGGCACCAAGCCAGATCCCAGAATTGTGAATGTTTCATGTTGGGGGAGGATGTGGAGAGGGACTTGACACCAGAACCATGCCCAGGCGATGAATTAAACGTATCGTCGTGTGATGACAGGCAAAGCCAGCGTGCGGAGTAGATGTTACTTGGTCATTGGAGCCCTATGGTCTTCAGGGGGCAGAGGGCCCAGTGCATTTGATGTGGGCTCTGGTATGTTTTACCTACTTCATGGTATTTGTTTTTCTGCACGAGGAGTTTCCATGCAGTTAAGGCTGGGCCAAGTGTTTTTATTCACCTGGAGAAGATCAGCATAAAGGAAAAGAGACGGGGTCCTCAGGCCGAGAGCCCATCCCTGCAAGCTCCCTGGGGCGCTGCTGCTGGGCTGGGTCCCCCTCTCTCCTAGGCACATTAATTTTGGTTAGGCTCTGATCCCTCTCTTCTTGGGAAAAAAAAATCCTGTGTCTCCCCCCACCTCTGTAATCCAGTCAAAATCAAAAAGATTTTGTCCCCTAATGAGATGCTAGAGGACAGAGCACCTTTGAATCTTTTCCCTTTCCTTCCTCTTTTCCTTCCTCTTTTCCTTCCTCTTTTCCTTCCTCTTTTCCTTCCTCTTTTCCTTCCTCTTTTCCTTCCTCTTTTCCTTCCTCTTTTCCTTCCTCTTTTCCTTCCTCTTTTCCCTTTCTTCTCGGTCTTTCACTCCTTGCCAGAGTATAATTATGAAGATTAAAATGCGTAAACAAGGTCTTGCATAATGATGAAGATATTGTCAATAGGAGGGGTGAGAATGAAGAGTGGGATCAGCTCTGATTATTTAATCAGGTGATGCTTTGTTAAAATGTCTCTTGGGAGAGGAGGCAGCTGGCAGCCGGATGGGGCCTTTGGGTGGGTTTCGTACCATGAGGTGCTCCCAGGGAGGACCCTCGGTCGTGGGGCACAGCTGGGCTTTGACCTCCTCATCCTTCCCCTCTGGCCTGTGCCTTCTCCACTGTGGCTGTTGTCCTCTCCTGCCAGGGGGGTGCCACGGCTGACAGCTTTCCCCCTCTCCTGCTCTAAGGACAAATTCATCCCTCCGAGGCTGAGATAGGTGCTGCAATCCCTTCCATCATGTTCCCGAAAGCCTCTTCTGGACCCAGCGCTTGTGCCACATGGCTGGGCACAGGGTGTGATAATGGGAACAGACTAATGTCCCCAAATCACCCCTTCTCTGAGCAATTTATGGGACACCACGTTGCTTTGCAGCATCAGGGATGCTCTGTTGCCTCTGCAATCACCTCCCTGCCGGAGCTGGACCACAGCTCTCTGGAAACCCTTTTCTGAGGTCTGCCTTGGGAGAGGGGCTGAGGTCTGTAGTCATCTCCCTGTGCAAATGCCGCAGCTCGATGGCTCATCAGCATCAGCCGGGGAGGGGATGGCTGTGCTCCGCTGGCGGCTGCTTGTAGGGCGTGCGAGCTGTGCCTATAGCCAGGCCTTCAGGGACAGGAGTCTGGATTAGCTGAGTGCATGATGCTCTTTATAGCTTGCTTAAATTGCTTTCCACCCCCCGGCCAGGCTCATTCAGAAATGAAAGGGGCTTGAGCTGCATCACTGCCCAGGGATGCCAGGCAGTGTCACCCATGCATGTGAGCGTCCCCTCTCCCGGTGGGTCCTGGTGCCTGGCTGCAGGTCTCCCAAAGGGTTAGTGAGTGCCTGCGTTGGGTTGAGTGTGCTGCTTACAGAGCTCATTAATGCTAATGAGCCCAGGGTGTTGCTTTTTCTCTTGATTAGGAGGGAGCTAAGAAGGGGATCAGGAGCTGCTTGGTGCTGCTTGTCTGTGGCCAGGTGACCTTGATGTGCAGGGACTCAGCTGGGGATGAAGCAGGGCTGATGTGGGAGCAGGGCTGGATGGGGGTCAGATGCCTGGCTGCGGTGGGCAGGGCTGATCCTCCTCGGAGCAGGCAGAGGAAACCCTTTGCTCTTGAGCTGCCTGATGCTGAGAGCAAAGCTGCCCCAGGGTCTGGGGCTCAGGTGTGCATTGGCTGTGTGGGAGCTTGCGGGATGGAGGTGGGGAGCCCATGGGGTCCTGTGAAGGCACCGTGTCTTGCCCAGGAGCCCCTCCGGGCAGGGGAAGCCTGGCCATGCCATGCTGGGGCAGTAGGGACCTGCCCTGGGAGCTCCTCCAGCAGATCTTCCTGGGGAAGCCCAGTCCTTCTCCAGCTGCTTGATGCTGTGCTTCAGCTCTCCGCAGCTCCTGTAGCTAACAAGTGCTTTGAAGCAAGTTACTTTGTTTGCCAATCCTTTCCAGCAACAGATAATTGCAATGCTGGCGCGTTGTAGTCCAGACTTAATGGCTGGCTCCTAATCCTCTGCTTTTTAACTACACCATAACAAATAGATGGAGGGCTGTGGCATTCCTTTGCAAGCCTTTCTCTGGAAAAGCCTGGTTTCGGTGTCGCGTGGCTTGCGCTGGTGTTCCTGTGTGTGGCTCCTGAGCCCTGGGTATAATGCTGTGAACTTGTATCGGAGAGTTACTGATTCCCGTCCTTGGTGGTTTGCTTCCCTTTGGCTCAGGGATGCTGAGAGGCAGAAATGCCAGTGGGTACCCCTGCGGGCTTGCTCAGCTCCCTGCCCACATTGGATTTATCTGTTTGAAGACAAACCCGCTGTTTCACAAGGCTGGATGGCAGTTGTCTTTTCTCCTTCTCCTTGAGGTTTTCCTTGGGTTTGGTCAGACGAGATGCCGGTATGGATGTGGCTCTGGGAGCTGCCGTACGTGGCGCCTGGCAGCGGCTGTGCTGGGGCTTTGCCCATGTGTCTGTTGGAGGATGCTGCACCTCCATGGAGACTCGGAGGCGGCAGCAGCACCTCTGAGCGGTGGGAAGAGGCCAGGCAGCCGTCCCCTGGTGCGGCATGCTCTGCTTGCATGCAGGGGAGATGGGAAGCCTTGGCTTTATGCTCCCTGGGGCACAGTAACCATCATGCTTGCACAGAGCTCCTGCCTTCAGCATTTTCACCACCCAAAAAAGTTACTGGCCTGAATTTGGCCGGAATAGGAGCAGTGCTGAGAGTTCCTGCCTCTCTGTCAGCTGGGGGTGACCATGAGCTCAGCTGGGAGCAACGTGTGGGTCGGTATCCTGCCCAGTGCATGCCGGTGGGAGCTGCTTTCCTGCCAGCCTGCACAAACAAAGCGGTGATGGGGTGGTCCTGGGCCACCACATGTGCCACCAGCATGGGTCCCTCCTTGTCCGGCTGTGCGCAGGGCTGCCCGTGCTGTGCAGGCGATGCTGGACACAATGGCAAATACCGGTGGCCTAGTTACAAGGGGGAACAAAAGAACTTTTTTAAAAAAAAGAAAAAAGGTTTTGTGTGGGTGGTTTGTTTTTTTTTTTTTTTTTAAATTTTTTTTTTTTTTTTTTTTTTTAGATCCTTTGGGAGGAAGGGAAGGTACAAGGTCTCTCTTTTCTCTGGACTCTCCCAAGAGGAGAATGGGCATTGTTTATTGTAGCGGTTCCTGAGGTCTGGGCTGTTGGGCTGGATCTCATAAAGGCAGTTGTGGTCTGGCTCAGCTTTCCCACCTAAGGTGCAAGTCTGCCGCTCCCTCTTGAGGCCTGCCCCTTGGAGCAGGCTGCAGGGATTCCGGAGGGTGTTCTCAGGCAAAACCCTCCTGCTCAGTGCCAGACACATCATGAAGCGCGTGCGGGTCTGGCTGTGGTTGGGGTGAGGTGGTGGTGTGCTCTTGCGGGGCTGGTGCCACAGAGATGCTCCTTGCCCAGGCTGGATAGGATGAGCTACG